ATATAGAAGAGATTAAAATAGAATGAAGGTTACTTCCAATGTAAAATAAAGAAAAAATAAAATGGTACTGGAGAGGGGGAAAAAAAAAGGAAACAAAAATTGCAAAATAGCAGTAGTAATAGTGGTGATAGAAATTGAAAAATATAATAATTGAAACGGTAAAATCAAGTAAGGAAAAAAGAAAAAAATTCGTTTCTTAAGTAAAAGATGTAAAAAATGAAAATAAAATAAAGAATAGTAAAATTAGCATAAAAATGTCCAGTAGTGGTCATTCACTTCCTCTGTTATTGTATTTGGCATGCCTAATTCTCGGAGCAGACAGTCTTGCAATTCTGAGCATTCCACTGCACCTCAGTTTTGTAAGGTAATCCTTAATTTTAAGTAGGCTATATCTTAGTCATTTGTGTCCATTTATTTTTGATTAAGAAAAAGGAAAAGAAAAAAAAAAAAAGGCAATTTGTAATTCAACTCTTAGGTGTCAGTGTTTCCGGTTTGACCTCCCAGTCCTTTTGGTTACTCTGGCCTTCTTTCTCTATGGCTCTAGCTGGCAGCATGCCAACTGGCTCCCAGACTATCTCTAAAGCTCCGATCCCTTGTTTCCAGGAAGGCAATTTCCCCTTGCAATTTCCTGGGATATGCCCAACTGGGCAGTCCTTCCCTAGTTTTCAGAAGCAAGGGGGTGAAGGGGATCAGGCGCCAAGGTGTCCAGATGTTCTGCCCTTGTCAGGACAGCCGCGATTCTTAACAATCTTTCCCGTGTCCCCTCGCGTTTTTAAAAAAGTCCCAGATTACGCCAAACCCAGCACTGGGTGTCCCGGACAGAATTCTTGCTTCAGCCTTCTTTGGGCGCAGCTCAGTGCAGGCGGCAGCACTGTGCTCCCGGCTACAGTGAGGGGCGGGGCCTTGCCGGAGCTCAGCGGCTACCGTCACTGCCTGCGCCGCGGGACCCAGATCCCTCAAGTTTTCCCCGCAAACTCTGATCTTTCCGTGGGTGACTAAAGAACTCCCTTGAATCCACGTGTTTGAGCTGATTGGGCCGTCTCAGCTACTCGATGGTCTCCTCTGCTGTGGGTTTTTCCAGGCCTCAGAGAAGCTCCTCCTTTCCTGGTAAGATGGCGCAGCCTTCCCTCCAAGCCCGGAGCTCTGGGAGAGCCGCCGAGGTGGCCGCAGTGCTGGCCAGTTGGTCAGGAAATCCTGTCCAGCGGACCTTTCCTTACCTTTCTTGAGATTTCCGCTGTCCCTCAGCTGCTAATCAACTTTCCCTGAGCAACTCAGATGCTGCTTTTTTCTGTTCTGGGACCGGAGTAAGAACAAGTCCATCTGTTCAGTCTCCATCTTCAAGCTCCGCCAAGACAATGGATTTTATTTTATTTTTATTGTTTTTGTTTTTTTGTCTGCCCTTGTTCCTTTTTAGGCTTTTTTTTTTTTTTTTTTTTTTTTTTTTTACATTTACAGAGAGAAGAGCGACTGGCCCATTCCTCTAAAAGAGAATGTAGCCAGTCTTCTCTTGAGTGACTGGACTTTGATTATTAATATATTTATAATTATTACTGAAAGGGCTTTATTATAAATTTTTTATTTTAGTTATATATATTTATTATACTTTAATAACTTTCATATTTTAAAGCCAATTATTACTTAAAGTATTTTCTTGACCAATTTTGTATTTCCTTATGTTAATTTTAAGGATATTATATTGGTCTAATTTAGTTCCAAAATATTTCTTTTTAGGGAAAGAGTAGATCTTTTTTGACACAAAGCTCAATTAAATTCTTGAAATATTGCATTCAGAAAAGCTGTCAAATATATTTAAATTTCATGATTATTAAAACTTAATTATATATAAATGTATTTTTTAAATATTATTAATATTAAATTAAATATTTAATCTTGGCCACAGAATTATTTTTAATTTGCCCAGTAAGTTTTTATATTTTAATAATTCTTCAATTTACTTTGAATTGTAGAAAAAATGCCTACCACCTGGTCCAGAATGTGGCCACCGCTTTACAGCATACAGTGGCAGGGTATGAATCTCTAAAAACACCACTTCCTCCCTCTGTGCCACCTCACATTTTCATATCTCACATTCCCAGGGCTGTCCTGCTAGGATTTGTGTCATCACAGGCAGGCTCGGAATTAGCTGGCCTTTGTTTAAATTTCATAAATTTTGTACTTTCAAATTAATCTCAGAATCTTAAAATGTTAATGCAGCACAGTAAAATCATAAATCATAGAAGAGCAAATTAAAGTTACATAGCCACTTTCTGAAGTGACATATAGACAGAAATCTAATGGAGGGGAAGAAAATGTCTTTAAGATAAAGATTTTTTTTTGTGGTTGTTGGGAAATTTTCTTTAATCCTTTATATGGTTCATCCATGCAAATGCCCCACATGGGGCGCCAGTTGCCAATGGACTCCATTTTGCTCTGGCCTTGTGATCCCTTTTATTCAGGTTTGGGATCCACCCATAGCCCTTAGGCAAGCAATTTCCAGTAACAGGCAAACTATCTTATCCCTAAGGATTTACATTAGATTAAAAGGTAGAAGTTGCTTCAGCTACCTTGTCTCAACAAGAAGGTGGGTGTGTAGCTCTGACCCTTCCCAGAGCCTCAAGGTTGACCAGCCTTCCGGGTTCCTTATTCACACCTCTCTGCTAGTGAAGACAATGGGCAGCTTCCAACAAGTCCACTCCAAACAGCTTGAGCTTTCAGCAAAATGAAATAGGAAGCTGCTTTCTCTTTTGGCCGAGCACCTGCATCCAGCTGTAAAGGCTGAATGGTTGAGAGCAAACCTTTTTTATTATCTGAGTCACCCCAATCATGGGTAAGCTTGTTCTGCTCTGCCTCAAACCCTAGCTCCAGCTCATAATTAGGAGGTAAATCTTTATCGGGTGGGCTTTTGACTGTGGTTGCAGTAGCAGTGGGCAGAGGAGGAGGTGGCGCTGAGGGAGGAAGTGGTGTTTTTAGAGATTCACACCCTGCCACTGTATGTTGTAAAGCCGTGGCCACACCCTGCTTAGAGATTCTTAAACTCTCCTGCTCTGGATCAAGGCAATCATGAATGAAAGACTATGGTGTGAATGTAGGAATAGGAATCTTTTCTGGACCTTCTGCTATGTATCAGTCACACAACTGCTTTCCAACCAAGGGCAAGTTTCATTACCAAAACTTAAGAAATCAAGAATTTGACTACGCTTAACAGAGCATCCTCGAGCTTTGAGCATAGTTTTAAGCATTTTAGAGTAGAGATCTCTTTCCTGAGACTCTGAATATCTCATGTTTTACACCCAGTTTTTACCTTACACTCTTTACCTTACTTCTTGAGGTTGTGTGCACACTCCTACACTGTTCCCCTCATCTGGCTGAGAGTACTCTATATTCAGGTGCATGGATCTGGGCACCAGATATAGTATTTTTCTAATGGACCATGACCAGTGCAGCTAAAGAGCTTTTAGGAGTCCTGAGTAGGGGCAATAGGGGACTGAGAAAATGAAAGAGACAGACACAGAGACAGTAGGAAAATCTGGGATCAGGTGGGACAGCTGGCCCTCTAATGTAGAGATAGTGAACCAGAGCCAGTGCAGCATGTTTATCTTATACAATTTTATATAATTCCAGGAAGTTTTACTAGAGTTTAAAACAAAGTAAATTATGTGAAATCATGGTTAAAGATTAAGCTATAATTTTTCATTCTTTGTAATCGTCACTCCTGGCTAACCCCAGACAATTACATCCATTCCTTGTACCACTGAACTTGGATAAGTTAACCCACATTCTGGCACCTGAGGTAAGGGTCAGGCAGACAATGTACCTGCCTCTAGCATGGTATGTTTCCAGGACATGGCTCTGCCAACTCCACTGGACTCAGCTGACAATAATTAAAAAATGCTCCCAATCACTCTACAATATCCCAAGAAAACAGAAACAGCAATCAAAGGATATACCCTGTTTCCCCAAAAATAAGACAGTGTCTTATACTAATTTTTGCTTCCAAAGATGCGCTAGGTCTTATTTTCAGGGGATGTCTTATTTTTCCATGAAAAGAATACGGTACACATTTATTGTTAAATGAAAATAAAGGAAATTTATTACCTGTATACGGTACGGTAGTACAGTAGTTGTCAACACAAACCAGACAAATTGTGAATCCTACAGTATCAAGAATTTACTCATTTATTCAATGACAATCATGTCATCATCTTCTGGAACATCATCATAACAATCCAATTCCTGAATTTCCTGGTGAATTTCTTGTGACTCCATTTCTTTCAGAATCAGTGGACCAAATCTCTCATGTTTAGCCTGGGGGGGGGGCTTATTTTCAGGGGGATGCCTTATATTTCACTCAGAAGGAAACCTTTAAGTAAGTCTCATTTTCGGAGGATGTCTTATTTTCGGGGAAACACGGTATGCACCCCTCTGTTCATAACAACACAATTTATAATAGCTGAGATTTGGGAAGAGCCTAAGTGCCCATCAGCAGATGAGTGGATTAGAAAACTGTGGTACATCTACACAATGGAATACTACACTGCTGTAAAAAGGAAGACATTTTTACCATTTGCAACATCATGGATGGAACTAGAGAGCATTATGCTAAACTAAATAAGCCAGTCAGAGAAGAATAAATATCACATGATCTCACTCATTTGTGGAATATAATGAATAACATAAACTGATGAGCAAAAATAGAACCAGAGTCATAGAAACATCGAACAGATTGTCCAACCTATTGGAGAAGGTGGGGAGTAAGGTGATAAGAGATCAACCAAAGGACATCTATGAATGCATATTAGCATAACCAATGGACACAGATGGGGAGGGGCAGGTGAGGGCATGTGATGGGGGGGCATGGCTGGGGTATGGTCAATGGGAAGGAAAGGAGACTTATGTAAGACTTTAAACAATAAATACTTTAAATTAAAAAAAAGTATGGCTTTGGTTTGAAGTATTTCACATTTTTAATTATTACATTCTCTCTGAATACTTTGCTGCAGGTCATTTATGCCATCCAAATTAACAGGAAAACATACACTCTCCATCTTAAAAAACAGTAAGTAGCCATTCTTTTTTTCATATAGTTTTTAGTTTCTTAAATTTGTATAGCCACTACCCTAAATTAGGACTAAACAAAAGGATGACTATCTCATTTATTGAACACTAGAGGCCCAGTGCACTAAATCTGTGCATGGGGAGGATCCCTAGACCTGGCTTATAATCAGGGCTGATCTGTGGGGTGATGGTTGTAGTGATTGGGGGCCCCTTCTGGCACCCAAGTTGGCTGGCCTGGCACTGCCCTCTTGCTGGTCCTGCACCCTGCTGCCACTGCTGGTCACCTCCCTCTTTTAGGGCAATCACAGGGCCCCTGCTGGCACCAGCCTTGTCTGGTGTGGGTCCTACTTGCTTGGGGAAGCTCTTGAATTGAACATCTGTCCCCTGTTGGTCAGTGTGTGTCAGGCAGCTGACCCCATCCCTGCCACTGCCACTGCTTACCATCTATGCAGTGCTGACCTCCCTCCCCTGCCACCGCTGGCCTCCCTCTGCAGGCAACATGCTTTGGGCGTGATGGCTTGGCTGGCCTGGACCTCCCTCTGCAGAACAATTGGTGGCTGGCTGCACACCTGTCACAGAGTTGCTGCTGGTGGGCCCTTCCCTGTGAGGGGCTGTTTGCCTACCTGATCACCTGCCCCTAACTGCTTACCTGTTTACCTTATCACCCCTAATTGTTTGCTGGAGATTGGGCCACCCCTATCAGGGGCCTTCTACCTACCTAATTGCTCCTAACCACTTGCCTACCTACCTGATTGCCTCTAACAGCTTGCTTGGGGGAAGAGCTAACCCAGGGAGGGGCCATCTGCCTACTTAATTGCTCTCAACGTCTTGCCTGCCTATCTGATCACCCTTAACACTAGTCTACCTACCTTATCACCCTAACCACTCTGCATTCCTGCCTGATCACCCCTAACTACTTGCTAGGGGGTGGGGCCTAGTCTCCACGATGGTGGTTCTGGTCTCTGGTCGTTCTAGTCATCACACTTATGGTGGTTGGCCTTTTATTGTATAGGATGTTTAGTTTTGTCTGTCTTCATATTATTTCACATATTTGTATGATTTTAAGAACTTTCCTTGACATTCTAGAATATATTTTTTTCTCATTTTGTATGTATTTTTAATGTATTAAGCATTCAATTTTCTATCTTCACTCTAGGAAATCAATATTAATAACTTTTTGTTTATTTTTCCCAATTTTATACCTATATTTCATTCTTCTATTAAATAAAACCTACCCACAATTTTGTTTTTATGAGAGTGGAAATAGGGTATTACTACTAGCAGGTCATATTGGTTAATGGTGCTTACTTTCTTGCTCTTTATGAATTTCATAACTCATCCTTCTATAGATAACATTTAACAATATGTAATATTGATAGTAATGAAGTTAATTCCAGAAATTTTCATTTGTTTATTAAATCCTGCAGTAGACATTATTGTATCTATATTTTTATATAATATAGATTTTGTTTGCTAGCATTGATATTAAAAAATAGGTTTCTGGATCAAAAAGTGTGAATAATAATGACAATAGAGATGATATTAACAAAAACAACAAAAGTAACAGGCACTTATTGAACACATACCATTAACAGGGCACATTTATCAGCAATTTGCATGTAGTAACTGATTTAATATTCACATTTTATAGTATATTAAGATTTTGAGAGACATTGCCAGTGTCTTTCTGAAAAGATAACAATTTAGATTTCCAAAAGCCTGCATGATGTACTAAAATATTTGATTTAATCTTAACATCAGTTTGTATTTCCTTAAATATCTACTCTGAACATTTAATGGTTATTTGCATTTCTCTGTATGAGGCTTGCCTGTTCATATACTATAGTATTTTTCTCATTATTTATTATTCAAATACACTGTATTTTGTAGAACAGTTTTAGGTTTATAGCAAAAGCAAAACTGACTGTAATACACAGGGATTTCCCATAAGCTCCTTACCACATATATGTGTAGCATCCTTCATTATCAATGATGCCCATCAAAATGATATCTATCCTATCTAATAAAAGGGTAATATGCAAATTGACCATCATTCCAACACACAAGATGGCCGCCCCCATGTGGACATAATATGGCCACCACAAGATGGCCAGCAGGGGAGGGCAGTTGGGAGGGACTAGGCCTGCAAGAGAGTGCAGAAAGGGGAAATCAGATCTACAGGGAAGGGCAGTTAGGAGGGACCAGGCTTGCAAAGAAGGGCAGAGAGGGGTGACCTGTCTGGCAGAGGAGGGCAGTTAGGGCGAAATAGGCCTATAGCGGAGGGCAATTGGGAGGGACCCAGGTCTGCAGGGGAGGGCAGTTGGAGGGGATCAGGCCTGCAGAGGAGGGCAATTGGGGGCAACCAGGCCAGCAGGGGAGGGCAGTTAGGGGCAACTGGGCTGACAGGGGAGCAGTTAGGTGTGATCAGGCTGGCAGTGGAGTGGTTAAGGGGTGATCAGGCTGACAGGCAGAAGATGTTAGGGGCAATCAAGCAGGCAGGCAGGTGAATGGTTGGGAGCCAACAGCCCAGATTGTCCCAGGCTGAGGGACACCCTTTTCCCCAACTCCCCATGCACAAATTTTATGCACTGGATCTCTATTATATATATGCCTAAGCAACTGTTACAACTGAACAATTGAAATGACTGGTCAACCTGTCACTGTGATGAGCACTGACCATCAGGGGCAGACATTCAGCACAGGAGCTGTCCCCTGGTGGTCAGTACACTCCCACAGCCAACCTCCCACTGTCAGCCAAATGCCCCCTGTTTTATCCTCCAGCCGGCAAACCTACCACAGTCCCTCCCCTGGCTGGCAAGTTCAATCTGGCAGGCCTCATTCTGCAACCCCCATCCAGTGCCTGGCAGGCCCCATACAGCACCTGGTAGATGTGGCCCCAATTGGGAATAGGTGATATGACCCCTATAGGCCCTGATTGCTGGACAGGCCTAGAGACCCCACCTGTGTATGCATTTCATGCACTGGGTTCTAAGTTACACTAATAAAAGAGAAACAAGCAAATTGACCATCACTCTGCTACACTCACCAGCCAATCAGGAGCAATTATTTAAATTAACCCAACATAGATGACCACAGAGCTGGAGTGAGCAGGAAGCCAGGGTTGCCACTGCGATGGAGGAAGCCAAGCTTTCCACCCAGGCTGGCCGACCCTGGCCTCTGCTCAAGGCTACAAAGTTTTAATTATAGAAGATAAATAAATCCCAGATACCTGCTTCCAGCTGGCCCTGACCTCAGTTTAAGGAGGCACCGAAAAAGAAAAGAAAAGAAAAGGAAAGAAAAGAAAAGAAAAAAGGAAAGAAAAGGAAAGAAAAGAAAAGAAAAAAGAAAAGTAAAGGAAAGAAAAGAAAAGATAAAAAGGAGCGACTGGGAGCCTGGATCACCTGGGGTCATGGCCAGCCTGAAAATAGCCCTCAGCTCCATACCTAGGCTGGCCACACTCCATGGAGTGAGGGTTCCTGCTAGGGGGCTTGGCCAGCCTGCAAATAGCCATCAGCCCCTCAGCCAGGCTGGCTAGGCATCCCAGTGGGGAGCCCCATCTGGAAAGGGCTGTGGCCATGCCACCCAGGCAAGGACTCTCATTCTATGGGTGCATGGCCTGCCTTCAAACCACCACAGGCCCCTTGCCTAACCCTCCCCATGCCTCAAGGGAACCCCCATCCTGATCTGGGCAAACCAGCTGGCCCCCACCCATACACCAGACCTCTATCTATACTATTATTACCCAATAATAAAAGGGTAATATGCTAATTAGATTGGGAGACCTTCCAGGAGACCTTCCTGATGTTCTTCTGGACAAAGCCATGGTGGTGGGGATGAGGTAGAGGCAGTTAGAGTCCAAAAAGGAAAGACAGTTGTGGGTGATCAGTCCAGGATGGGACGGCAGTTATGGGCAATCAGGCTGGTAGGGAGTAGGATCATTGGGGTTAAGCAGACCAGCAGGGGCGGGCCAGTTGGGACAAGCAGGCTGTCAGTGGGGGTCAGTTGGAGGTGATCAGGATAGTGGAGGGGGAACTTTGGAGTGAGCAGGCTAGCAGGGAGGCTGTTGGGGGTAAGCAGGCCAGTGGGGAAGGGAGGTAGGGGTGAGTAGGCCAGTAGGGGGGGCAATTGGGGCAAGCAGACCTACAGGGGAGGCAGTTGGGGGTGAGCACACTGGTATAGAAGGCCATTGGGGATGATTAGGCTGGTGGGGAGGCATTTGGGGGTGAGCAGGCTGGCATGTTGGGGGGTAAGTTGGGGGCAAGCAGGCTGGTAGGCAGGCAGGTGAGTGGTTGGGAGCCAGCAATCTCAGATTGCGAGAGGGATGTCCGACTGCTGGTTTAGGCCCAATCCCTGTAAACCAGCATTAGGACATCCTTCAAGGGGTCCCAGATTGGAGGGGGTGTAGGCTGGGCTGAGGGACACCACCACCCCTGTGCATGAATTTCATGCACTGGGACTCTAGTTTATAATAATAAAAGGGCAATATGCTAATTAGATCAGAAATCATTCCAGACATTGTTCCACATGAAGCCAGGGCCAGAGGGATGTTTGGGTCTTGGGTGCGTGCCAATGGCCAGAGGGAAACATGGGTCCCAGGTGCCAGAGGGTAGCAGGTATTGGCAGCTGAGGGAAGAAGGCCTACACTTGCATAAATTTCATGCTTCAGGCCTCTAGTATTGTTGTAATTGATTATACTGAACCCACACATCATTATAACCCAAAGTCCATAATTTATATTAGGTCAATATTTTTATTCCTTTTTATTCCTTTATATTTTAAATTAATTTATTTATTGTCTAAAGTTTTACATATGTCTCCTTTTTCCCCAATTGAGCCTCCATCCCCAGCTATTCCCAAACCTGACAAGTCCCCACTTCTCCAGTGTCTGTATCCATTGATTATGCTCATATGCATGCATACAAGTTCTTTGGTTGCTCTCTAAACTCCCCTCCTAACATTTGTCTCTGGATCTGTCCTTGTTCATCAAATTATGTTGATCAT